TCGGCTGCCCGGGCCCGGCGAGCGGCGCGGTGCCCGGGGCGGCGGCGCGCCCCGCCCTGCGCTATTGTCCGCGGCGGGGGCCGGGGGGGGCCGCGGCCGCCTTTGTCTTCCCGTCCCCCTCCTCGGCTGACTGCGGCGGGGGTCTCGCAGGCAAAATGTGCGACAAACCAGACCTCTCGGAGGTGGAGAAATTCGACAAGAAGAAGCTGAAGAAAACCAACACGGAGGAGAAGAACACGCTGCCCTCCAAGGAGAGTGAGTGCGGGGCCGGGGCTGGCGGGGCGGGAGGCACGAGCGGCGGGGCAGTGCCCTCGGGGCCGGGCTCACCGCCGGGGCACAGGGGCGGTTTGGGGCGGCCGGGCTCTGGCCCGGGGAAAGCCACGGACAGAGGTGTGTGCAGCCCGGGGAAGCGGGCACAGGCACTCGGAGAGGGCTGTTGTGCCAAACTGATCCCTCAGGGCATCACTTTCCTGCGGATAGACGCAGACAGGTGCCCGACTTGCTGCCACGCACACGTGTGGCTTGTCATTTTCTAATTTGACTGTTAAACCACCCCACCTGGGATCAAAGCACAAAACTGGCTACCAGGGCCTGAGTGAATCCTCTGAACCTTCTCCAGTTCGTGCTTCCACAAAAAAAAAAGGCACTAGAGACTAATGGGTCTCTATTCTCTTGCAGCTATTGAGCAGGAGAAGGAATGTGTGAAGTCTTCCTAGAGAGAGATTGCCTGGCAGGAAGAGCGACTACTCAATTTTTTTGCTTTGAAATGAATCATGTGGGTTTTTTTAAATTTACATCACGTACATGTATAGAAAACAGCTGTATCACCTAACACACTGTCCCACTTTGCTGGCAGCTTTGGCAGGTGGGGGGACAAAGCGTGGTCCTCTCAGTCCATCAGTAGCCTGACCTGATGCCATCTCTGCTGCTTCAGCTGCCTCCTGTGACAGCACTGATCTTGCTCTGATGCAGTGGGGAGATGAGCAAGGGCTGTGGAGGCTTCTGGGCATGGACCCCTTCTGCCTGGGGGAGTGGGGAACCTTTCTGGCCTCACCTCCAGCCTGGGTCTGTCTTGCATATTCTTCACTGACAGTGTTCTGTAGCCTCACTCACAGTTTTTTTGTCTTCCTTGGGGAAAAATGAGAAGTTTATTATAAAATAAAAAATTGTAATGATCTACCTACGGCTCGTGGCTTCTTCCCTGACAAAGGTTGTGGCTGTAGCTTGGCTTGCCCATGGAGGGTGGGGAGGTGTGCCTGGTGCTGCAGCAGTTGCTGGTTCAGTGTTGCTCAGAGGTCGATGTGGGATGGTTCCCTGCAGGGTGAATCCAGCTTGGTGTTTGGGATTCGGTTCCTGGGGGAACTGGGAGCATTGCTGGCACGGTCCACTGTGCTCCACCACTATTGTGGTTTCTTGGTGCATCTAAAAGCAGAGGGTCTTGCTGCCTATGTGAGGGCTGAGCCTTCTGTCTTGGAAAACTTTGTGTCCCCTGCCTAAAACCTTGAGGAGCTGGGCTGGTGCCTTGTCAGCATGGCTGGAGATGCTGGCCTGGGTCTGCTGGTGTGGTGGCCAGGCCAGCTCTGCCCACCCAGTTCTTGGAGCACAGATCTCCCATCACTGCATGGCACTGCCCTTCTGTTCCCCTTGAGCCAACCTCCACCCCTGCCCTTGACTGAAGGTGATTTTTCAGCCCTGTAAGGATGGGTTTGAATGCAGTAAATCCCTTGGGTACTCTCTGGGCTGATCCCAGCCCTGCCTTGCAGGGGTGGAGATCCCCTGGGTCCTGCAGTTGGCTTCCAGCACACTGTGGGTGAGCTCTGACAGTGCCCCCAGGTTTATGCTGAGGCTTCCTGGCTACTGCCAGGACTTCCTCACCTCCACCTGGCCTGCAGGGTCACTGAACACACCAGCCCACTTACAGAGGAGGTGGAAGTAGACTAGCCAAAACTTGCCAGCTGACAATTTTGGTCAGTGTTCCCGAGGATCCTGGTCAGCTGGGGACAAACACGGGGCTGTTGCGCCTGTCTGGACATGGTGCCTATCTATGTGCCTGGTGCCTACACCCACACTGCCTGCCAAGGACTGCAAATAACACTGCCACTGTGATTGCCACTGCCTCCACCCCTTAAAAAGCAGAATTGAAAGAGCTGCAGGTAAGAGTTTGGTGTTTGTGCACTGTTGGGGCAGCGTGTGGGATTTTCCATGGGGTGAGGGGAGCAATGCAGAGGCCCAGCTGGGGCTGCTGCTCTGTTGGGCTGAGCACTGGGAAGGATGGCTGTGCCCCTTCAGCACGCTGATGTCCCCAGGACAGAACCCTATTCTGGACATGGGAATCTTTTCCCAGTGCCAACAATCAGGGTGGTTTGTCAGGGTGACGATGTGTCCCTGCTCAGGGGTGGTTTTTCTTATGGAGCAGAGGCACGCAGGTAAAGCCAGCCTGAACCTTTTTCCCCATCCCTGAGAGCCAGAGGCTGAGTTGAACCAAGTGAAGCTTTTGGGATGGAAACACAAAGTGGCAGGGCTGATCTCCCCTCCTCAGTTCCACTTTTGGGGTAGGGAGGTCCCAGTGGCTGCCCAGAGCACCTTGGCTGCTCCTGGCACCACCCCAGTGCCTCTCCCTACGACATGCTGCAACAGGCCCCTCTGTGGGCATGGAAAAGCACCAGGGTACTTATCTCTCCCTGAGTCACATGGACGTCTGCAAGGCCACAGCAGGAGTGTCCCCTCCCTGGCACTGCTGTGCTCACAATAACTTCCCCCTCACCCTGTGCTGTGCACACAGGCAGCAGAGCCTGCCAGGGGTTCTGGGCACCCCAGTCCCCAGTTTGCCAGCCAGGGCTAGGGCTGTGGGTTGCTCCACATGGCAGGGTGGCTGGTGCCAGAAGCTGGCAGAGCTCCAGCATTGACCTTGAGCCTGGAGAAGCAGCCCATGGCACACCCATGCATCCTGGGGAGCCGTAGACGTGTTGATGCATCTGGGTTTGGGTCGCTTTTTCACTGCAGCCAACCCCAGCATGTAGCAATACAGATTTAGACATGGGGTTAAGTGCTGGCACAGCCAGGTCTGTACCCCAAGGAAGTCATCCCAGAGGCTGGTAGTCCCAGCCTGGACCCAGGGACATCAGCTGGAGCTGGGAGCAGCTCCCCAGCAAACACATCTCTGTGTTTTGTGGCCAATATCCTGTGTTCACCTAAAGTGAGGGCAGTCCAGGCACTTTTCCCAACCACATCCCTGCCAGAATGGTGCACAGGAAGTACCAGAACACATTGCCTAAATGCCCTGTCCTCAAGACTGAGGGTAAAGAGTTACCTGTTTTGCTAACTGGTGTCCAAAATGTCCCTGTTGCCAGCAGAGCATGAGCCACTAAGGGGAGAACCATTACAAAAAAGCCTTTTCCATCAGCATGTTCCTTCCCTACTCCAGACCTCCACCTTTTCACCCTGGCACACATGGGCCCACAGCTGCCAGCGCTGTGGGAGGCCAGGACACCTGCCAGACTGATGTCCCCTGGAAATGTGGTGGCTTGAGCAGCATGGACTGCCCCAGCAGGCACCCACACACAGAGGGTGACATTCCAGGAGCTGGGCCTTCCTGGCAGGGTTCTATGACCCTTCCCTTGCTGGGCACCAGGTGAGTCCCTCATGTCAGCCCCCCTTGGCAGTGCCAGGAGAATATAATCCATGCCTCTCCCATGCAGGGCCCATCCTGCTGCTTTGGGGAGGTTTCCTCCCATGCTCAATGAGATGGTGAGCTGTGGCCTCACTGCAGAGGAGGGAGGAGGAGGCTGAGTCACCATCAGGAGGAATTTGGGCAAATACCTGGTAACCAGCAGCATGAGGTGAATTCAGATCAGGGCTTGTGGCTGCGATGGGTGTCTGTCCCTGCCACTGCTCCATCCTCTCTGACTCAGGAGAAGATTTAGCCCAACACACACATGTGGAGGATCATAACCCCATCTCTGGCAGGAGGTGCCTGAGTCAGCCTGTGCATTGCCCTGTACTGGGCTCCCCTGTGCCCCACGGCTCCCTGCCAGTCTGTGGCACCTTCCTGATGTCCTGCACAACTCACCCAGGGCAAGGGAGCCTTTTGGACTCTGGCAGCCAGGGTTTTCCATTTGTCACTCGCCATCTGGCAGCTCCCAGAACTGCAGCAGAAAGTGGTGAGAGCCAAGATCAGTCAGTGATCAAGGCCTAAAGCAGCTCCTGGATGGCAGGAAATTGTCAACCTCAGCCTGAACTGCGGATGGTCCGAGCAAACCTCCTTTAAGGTAAGTGTTTGGAACCAGAGCAAACAGGATAAGGTGAAGCCAGGCTGCACAGACAGGTGAATGCTGCAGCTCCCCAATGGGTGGATCCTGCCCACCCCCACCTCCCTGTTCCCTGCATCCCCGGGGAAAACATGTCACCACCTCTGTGTCACTTGGGTTGGCCTTTTCCTGCCAGGTCTCTGCTTCCTGCACAGACACATTGCCAAGCACAGAGCTCAAACCACCCCATAGTGGCTGAGGTTGAGAGGGGAACAAGGGGCAGCAAGCATGAGCTGCCAGGGAAAACCTCTGCTGGGACTGCTTGGGGAGGATCTGTACATGGGGATAGTTAAAGAGGAAAGCACGTGGCTGTAAAAGAGGAAGGCAAAAGAGAAGGAGCAATAGTGGGGAAATGAAAGTGTTGTGCGGGCTAGTGACCACAGTCCTTTGGCAAAGAAGTTGATAGTAGGCTACCACGATGTGTGAGAGTTGTGTGTGATGGGGCCACTTGGTGACCTGGGAAGGATGGACAGACAAGCTGTCCCCATCCTGTGGTGGGAAGGAGCACAAGAAGAACTCCCATGTGCTGAAGAACTCCCATGGCCATGGGGAGGGAAAGCCGCTGTCCCTTTGCACCCACAAAGGCACCCACACAGTGAGCCAGAAACCCTTGGACACCTGCGCTGGGAAACTGGCCTGTGGGCTGCACACACTCAGCACAACACAACACCTTCCCCGGCAGTGCAAACGTTATTGCTGCTCTTGAAATAATACCCTGGAGGTCAGGTTTACCAGCAGGAGCTTACTCATTCCCTGCCAAGGAGGGCTCAGCATGAGTAGTGGTGAACCGGGAGCACGCAGAGCTTCCTGCTCAGGACCAGGCTCCTGCCAGCACCTGGCTCTAGACAAAGCCGGGCAGTCACGCTCGGAGCGCCCCTGCAGCTCCCGCATTTGCGCTGCCCGCACCTGCCGGGGCTGTCGCGGCCCGGGGCGCAGGTGGGAGCGGCCGGGCTGCGTGCCTCGGCCGGGGACACGCGCGGCTGGCGCCGGGGATGCCGAGCCCTTCGGGGGCTCCCAGCCCGCTCCTGACAGCGGCCGGAGCTCAGTGCTCTCTTCTGGCCGCCCCGGCTGCATTCTACAGATTCCCGCGGGCCGGAGGGGCCGTGCCCGGGGCTGCGGCAGCATGTGCTCCTGCGGGAACGCGGCTCCGGTGTCTGCGGCAGCGCCCGCACTTGCGCCCGAGCCGGGGCAGCTGACGGAGCAGAGGAGCGCTTTATTTTAGGAAGCAGCTGGCTCACACAGGAGACATTGTTTATCATCTTTCTTGCCTCTGGTGTTTTATTACAAAGGATTATGGCATGAAAAGCCATTTTGTTCCCCGGTTCCCGATGCACAGACCCCTCTCCATGATTTATTCCTCTCCACAGGCAACAGCTGGGGTATGACATCCCAGGAAGCGGAGGGGGAAATAAGGTGGGGGCTCAAACCCATGGCAGTGATGGCAGCAGGGATGCACCCAATGCCCAAGTCATGGCACAGCTGGAAGGAGTTTTCCAGGAGTGCCTGAGGCCGCTCATACACCTTTATGATGTGAGGAGTGGGTGAGGAAATGTCACCTCACTCTGTCTGGCCAGTGAAGAGATCAGTGTTCTCTGCCGGGACACTGCTATCCCCAAGCCTGTGTCCCCCACATGCCTCCTGTGGCATCACAGCCCCAAACCTGCCTGGATAAACCTGTACGGGAATCTCTTGCTGCCCACAGGGAACCTGGGGCCAGGCTGGGCACAGCATGGTGCAGGGTACGAGCTCAGCAGCAGAGTGGGTGGGATGCAGGGTACAAACCGAGGGTCAGCTTGGGAATATGATCATTTGCACTCCCCCCCAGAATCACTTTCAGGCAGGGCAGAGGCACCTCCAGAGCCGCAGTAGGAG